CTGCCTTGAAAATAAGCCAAACATGGTACCCCAGAAGCTACAGAAATTGTCTGACCGAGCCCCATTTCAGCGGCGCCCAAAACCCATTGACTTTTGCTTCCAACATAGTTATTAAATAATTTAGGCTTTACCATGAAATCTGGAAGTAGAACCCAACAAACTGGATTGCTCTCCAAACGAACTAATCTTTTGTAGGTAATTTTCAGAAGGTCGACAGAATGCGGTTGAATGAAACCCAATAAACATTTGTGGGCGCTGCTTTGTTTCTTCCTCCCCATCCGTCCACATTGAGGCATCCCTCCTTGGATGTGCAAGCTACAGCTACTTAGTGGGTTACAATGCGGACTAACCCCAGACCCCAGTTGCCACGCAAGTCGGCCCTTTGGTCTTTTGGGTGCTGTTTTGGTGTCTCTTTTCTCACTCTTGATCACCCGTTCGTGATGGTTTCAAGGAGGGGACCAAAAGGAACCAAACCGCAAAACAAACGAGGCCGAATGGATCAGAACAACTGGGGTCCATTTGGTTTGTTTTGCGAACTGAGGAGCATGAGGTCTGTTGACCTCAAACAGAAAAGCTCCAGAAGGGCGCAATTCAATTTTTGTTTGTTCTGTCTTTTTCAAGCAAAAGGACCCAAAAGCCAAACCAAAACAAATGGCGTCTCCAAGACACCTGTTAGTCTGCAAAATATACTACATCTCCAAAACCTGAAATAAGGGATCCCCAAGCAATGGATCTTTTCCATGAGCTCTTTGTACCTGCAGGTGAGCTTGCCATCAATTCTGCAGCATTGGAAAACCCCGAAATCCAAATCCTCGTGCAACCCGGTTTTCCATTGGAAAGCCACGACCAAATCTATTCGCAATCCCACTTCCTGAGTGGATGGCCCAAATAAAAACTGTTTCTTTGTCACTAAAGTAGTTGTCCCAAAAAGTGACGAAAGTCCAGCACCCCTTGTGCGGGTTACTCAGGAAGTGCCAGGGCCTCAGGCAGTGCCTGGACCTCAGGACCTCAGAAAAGCATAAAGTCCCACCGGACGTGTCCAAAGTCCAAAAAACTCAGGCAAGAAGCGACTGAAGTGACCCTTCAGTGGCTGCAGTGGCTGCAGTGACTCAAGAGACTGAAGTTCTAGTAGGGATCCTTCTTTCTAGAAAACCTCCGGAAACCCAGGGCAACGGCCAGTTTTCGGAAAGAACGATAGTTAGAAAGAACGGAAAAGGAATCAACCCTTAGAGAAGTCCAAAGAACTCCCACGACCGAAGTGACCGGAAGTGCGCCCAGCTCCGGTCACCTCCCCCGTTTCGCTCGCTCGCTCCCGTCACCGCGACCCGAGGCTTCGGCTGCCGAAGGCCGCGGCGGTGGATTGGCAGAGCTCGGAGGGCGGCACCGGGCCTTCCGACGCAGGGCGCGCCCGGCGCGCTGACGGATGTGGCGGGGGCTCGTCTCGCTGTTTGTCTTCCACGGGTTTAAAAAAGGGAAAGCCAAAAGGGAAAACGTGAAGCCGGTGTTGGGGGTCCTTGGTTTTGCTTCTGCTTTTTCATGTTTGTTTCCTTTTGCGTTTAAAATTGTCTGTTTTTTGTTTGTGCGTAGGTGTGTGTGTGTGTGTGTTCCTTCTGGTCTGCTCCGAATCACAGAAAAGGTTGTCAAGGTGGTCCGTTTGACCTCCTTTCTTCGGGGACAAGAGGAAACCTGCGCTTTTTGGTAGTCCAGAGCAGCCGTAGGTTTCCATGACTTGCCGCTTCCTGCCGGGGGACATCAATTATTCTGCGCTAAAAACCATATTATGCGTAATACCTACCTGAAATAGCCATCATTTCTTCTAGGAATCCGCGGCCCATGAATCAGCCAGCAGTAGGTAAGGTTATTATCATCCGGCCCTGAATCAAGCAATCCATCAATGAATCGACATCGTGGGGTCTGGAATCCGCTGACCGGCGAGCTGGCAGTAAGCCAGTCAGCCGGTCAGGCTGAGTTGCAGCTTTGGAGATAAAGTTCCCTCTTAAATAAATGGCTGGTTGTTTTTCCACAAAAAGCTTCTCCATAAAATTGGGAGTTGGCTTCGATTAAAAACAAAGTAGTGGTCCATAAAATTGGGAGTTGGTGTCCATAAAATGACAGGTTGTGTTTCATACAATTGGGAGTTTGATTCCATAAGATGACATGTGTGTTGTTATAAAATGGCAGGTTGTGTTTCAAAAAATTGGGGATGTGAGGTTGGTGCCCATAAAAATGGGAGCGTGCTTTTTCATAACATGGCAGGTTATTCTCCATACAAAGGCAGGTTGTTTCATGAAATGGCAGGTGAGCGGCGTTCAAAAGGTCTTGTTCAAATCTAGGTCGTAAGGAACTCTTACGCCAAGGTGCTTGGGCGAGCTTACGCGCAATACAGGTTTTCTTACACGCTTGCATTTATATAAGTTTCCCTTGCGCAAACCTTGCGCGCAGCTCAGGCGAACACAATTCCTTACGAAACTGGATGGTTTCCTTCCGGCTCATTTCACTAGCTGGGGGGCTTCGAGCCCGCAACCTTTCCGGACCCCCCAGCCAATTGTGCCACACAGCTGCGCCGCGCGGAGCTGAACCCCCAAAAACCAGAAGAAAAAAAAGCGGCAAAACCAAAAACGATCTTGCGCAATCCACTCCCCAGCCACGCTTTGCCAGCTAACTAGCCTCAAAGAGGCATTAGTGACATGCACTAACTCCTTTTTTGGGTGTTTGAGCCCCTAACAAGACATTCCAAGTGCGGCGCGCACTCATTCGTTTTTTGCGTTTTCCACTCCTCAGCCACGTTTTGTCAGCTAACTAGCCTCAAAGAGGCATTAGTGACATGCACTAACTCCGTTTTTGGGTGTTTGAGCCCCTAACAAGACATTCCAGGTGCCCAAAACCAAAAACAAATTAGCGGCGCGCACTAATTCGTTTTTGCGCAATCCACTCCCCAGCCACGTTTTGCCAGCTAACTAGCCTCAAAGAGGCATTAGTGACATGCACTAATTCCATTTTTGGGTGTTTGAGCCCCTAACAAGACATTCCAGGTGCCCAAAACCAAAAACGAATTAGCGGCGCGCACTAATTCGTTTTGCGCAATCCACTCCCCAGCCACGTTTTGCCAGCTAACTAGCCTCAAAGAGGCATGAGTGACATGCACTAATTCCATTTTTGGGTGTTTGAGCCCCTAAGAAGACATTCCAGGTGCCCAAAACCAAAAACGAATTAGCGGCGCGCACTGTTTTCCCAAGTTGCCCCAAAACACATCAGCAGCAAGTTTAGGGTGTCTGATCCCCTGCCACTGCCAAATGACTACGCAAAACCACCAAAACAATCCAAACCGCTTACGCGACCAACGTTCCTCGAAAAAAGCTTGCGCGGCCTTACGCCGCCACGTGTTTTCCTTACGCGTGGGACCCTTATGACCACCCCCTTTCAATCGCAATACAACCAGGTTTTGAACCCTGCTCAGGTGTTTTTGCACACAATGGCAGGTGTTGTTGTTTAAAAGAAAAAACAGCTGCATTGGAGCTTCGCCCTCCTGAAGGGACCGCTGTATTCCTTTGGCTCCTTCTCCACCCCCACCCACCCATCGACGCGCCTGCCGAGCAGCCGATGGCGAGACCCATGGAGTCTAAAGCTGCCTGGAACTCAAGTCGCAAGTCACTCGCATGCGATCCGCTCAGACTTGGTTGCTGTTGACCCCCCTGCAAAATGTTCAACTCTTTGGGGGTTTAGTGGAAAACTCCTTTACTTCCAAAAAAGTTAAAGTCTGAAGATCCAACCCAATAACAGCCACCACCTTTTTCTGGACAATTGATCGACCCCCTTGTAGTGAAGAATTCCCTTTTGCGGGGGTCGGCCATTTTGTCACAAAGGCTAGCAAAAGATCTCCTGGATGCGATCCGCTCATGAACATACCTTTCTGGTGCGATGAGTAGGGAATGAGGGAATGAACATCTCAAACTTTGACATACTGTAAATGGTTCCGAAATCCGTTTCGCACCACGAAATGAAACCATGGTTGAAACCGTTGTTTGTTGGTGTTTGCAGGGGAATCGAATCATTGCAGGGGCTTCTCAGGTGGTGCAGGATTTCGTCCCTCCGCAGTAGGTGGTCTTTTGGAATTCTAGAAGGCCCTGGTAAATGGCATAACCCCATCGAAACCAGTGCCATCCAAGCTAACCTAAAAAGGACCCTATGCTCTTGACTCTTGAGGGTACGCCGTAACTCCAAGCGCTAGATTCTGGGCAAATCACCATACTCAGTTGCGCAAAGGACCTGGAAATAGAAGATCACCTTTTGAACATATGGACCAAATCAGGGAACCAAAAGGTCAAAAGGTCGGCTTGGGCAAATTGGCGTATAATACTGAGTAAGCAGGATAGGCGAGCTCGTGTTACTCGTGACAAGTTCCTGAGTTGAGTCCTTTTCCATTCTGTTCACCATGGTTCCTTTCAGAAACCACAAGAACAGAAATGCGAAGTGTATGGCTAGAACTGCTAGTGCAGCCAGGTGATCAAGTGTCTGTTGGTTTCCTTTGTGGAAAAATCATGGCTGCTGTTGGGTTCATCTCAACACGGGAACTCACGCAGTCAAGGCTCGCCCCCACGGGGACTGGACGCTTGAATTGACTCATAACCGCGTGCAAACTTCGGAAAGAGCACATAAAGGAGTTCACACAAGCATGCGAAAGCCTGCTACTGCAGAAGCTGCTTATCACGGACATCATAACCCAGGAAAATGGTTGTAAACACCCAATCGATGCACAAGCACCTTTGAAGCCACTGGATGTATCCTACAAGGCCATTGCTGGGTTTGGGAGTAGACACCCCCTCCTCACCCCTCCTCATAGGGGTATCCATAACATTGCACGGCTCCAAATACCTGAGCATACTCTTGTGTGTGTGACTAGGCCCAATGTGTTAAGGAGAGGGCAGTTCCCTTTCAGAAGGACGCGCAAAACGGTACAAAAGGCATACCTCATGCCTTCGCTGCCTTCGCTGCATTCTTTTGCGGATTGGCTTGCTACAGCTGACAGCTTTTGGCTGGCAACTCCAAGCCGTTCGCATGGAGAATCATCGTACAACGCGCTGCAAAGGTGCCAACACATCTGCGATGCTGGCATCACCTTCAAGCCGCTTCAACGCCCATCTAATGCTGGCAACCCCTTGTGCATTCATGTATGACCTCACTTCCTTCGCACGCAGCACCAGAGTCGGCAGCACAGCCAGCAGGGAGTCGTCTCCTGCCTCTGACAGCTTGGCCGCTGCCCAAATCACGTTGGCAACCTCTTGTGCATTCATGTCAGAGCTCACTTCCTTTGAACGCACCACCAAAGTCGGCAGCATAGCCAGCACGGAGTCATCTCCTGCCTCTGACAGCTTGGCCGCTGCCCAAATCATGTTGGCAACAGCTTGTGCATTCATGTCAGAGCTCACTTCCTTTGCACGCACCACCAGAGTCGGCAGCACAGCCAGCAGGGAGTCATCTCTTGCCTCTGACAGCTTGGCCGCTGCCCAAATCACGTTGGCAACCTCTTGTGCATTCATGTCAGAGCTCACTTCCTTTGAACGCACCACCAAAGTCGGCAGCATAGCCAGCACGGAGTCATCTCCTGCCTCTGACAGCTTGGCCGCTGCCCAAATCATGTTGGCAACAGCTTGTGCATTCATGTCAGAGCTCACTTCCTTTGCACGCACCACCAGAGTCGGCAGCACAGCCAGCAGGGAGTCATCTCTTGCCTCTGACAGCTTGGCCGCTGCCCAAATCACGTTGGCAACCTCTTGTGCATTCATGTCAGAGCTCACTTCCTTTGAACGCACCACCAAAGTCGGCAGCATAGCCAGCACGGAGTCATCTCCTGCCTCTGACAGCTTGGCCGCTGCCCAAATCATGTTGGCAACAGCTTGTGCATTCATGTCAGAGCTCACTTCCTTTGCACGCACCACCAGAGTCGGCAGCACAGCCAGCAGGGAGTCATCTCTTGCCTCTGACAGCTTGGCCGCGGCCCAAATCACGTTGGCAACCTCTTGCTCGTCCATATGATTCGCAGTCTGCTTGGCCGCTTGTGTCAAGCTGCTTTGCAGATTTGCCACGAGTGAATGCATTCGCTTGTCCAGCTTTGCAGCTGCCCAGTATGTATTGGCAACTGCTCGCGCATTTCTTTCGGCCTCCACTCCAGCCCTGCCTGCACCATCTCGAGTCAGCCTAATCAAGTCTGGCAGGAAAGGGTCGCTCAGTACCTCGGCGGAAATACTTGCCTGCATTTTGGCCATCCTAGCCCATGCGGCGGACAAGGCGATGAAGTCCAGTTTTGGGTTGTTCCGCTCCTGCCGCACCACTCCCAACACCTCCGAGGCGGAGGGAGCTTCCATGATCTTCTTGGTGATCACCTGGCAGGGTGCTAGGACACAACCATTTCTTCCATACCACTGGTAAGCCCTCGTCACAACGTAGTTCCCCATCTTAAGGGAAAATTCCCTCGTAGCACCCAAGTTGTCTTCCCTCTGAATAATTGGATCGCAGTTGTTTCTCAGTTCGTTGAAACATATGTCAGTCTTCCAAAGATCTACCGGGCGAGGCGGGTCCACCTACCGCCCGCAATGTCACAGAAGTGCGGTGCATTTTTTAAGTACACCAGGCTAAACGTATGTGTGTAAGTAAAAGGGAATGATAAAACATAAAAGGTAAGGCTGTGCCATCTCATTATATAATGTTGACTTCGGAGGAATCCGAAGGACTGTATTGATCAGGGGTGGTTCCCCTTCAAAAAAGGAAATCATCTGTTTTAGGGCTTTCCTCTGATCAGTAGGGTCATTCGGATTAAACCGAAGCCAACAATATCGGTATCTATTTGGATGTTCGGCCAAGCTAGCAAGCAGTTAGCCAATTGGGGTATAACCCCTGAGTAATAAGGTTCACCCAACTTAGGGGAACAACTTAGGGGAACTTGCAGGTGGCTTGAAACCTATACCAACAACTGACTAACTTGACAAATCCAACACCCAAGGAACTGTAACTCCCCCAGCACCGCCTTCGGATGCGTATAGCCGTCCAAACTTCTCCCTGGCTTGTCTCGCGCCGGGCGCCCGGCGGAGCCGCGCCGCTCCCGCACACGACGCACCACGCGAAACCTGGACTCCGCCTCAACCAGGGTGGTCCTTTTGGCCCCGGTTCCATATCTGCAAGAGGAACTCTATTACGGCTACGCTTCTAGACACGCCTTTTTTCTCACTTCTTTTTGACTTCTGTTTTTTGGGGGGGTTCTTTTTGACTTTGTTTTTTTTTTTTTTGGGGGGGGGGGGGCATGATTCCATGCGTTTGATTTCTCGCGCTCGGCACTTGTTTTCTTCCGGACTTTTGAGGGGGCCATGCGATGGCCTCGGCGCCCCGTCCCCGAGCCCTCGGCCCCAGGAAGGCGTCGCGGCGCAGCAGCTGCCACGCCAGGAGCAACGGCAGCAGCGTGCGGGCCATGGCTCCCCCGGTTGGCTCGTTTGCTTGGGTTTGCTTTTGTTGAAAGGAAAACGGAGCTTCCCGCTGGTTTCCCATTTAGACAACCAGAAAACAGAGGTACTTTCAAACCACAGACAACCCCACATCTCAATTAACAGAGGAGCTTGGCGGTAAGATGGGTCCTGTGCAGCTCTGGGCTGAATGTCCTCCAAAAATAGTATACTATGCTTGACGAAAGTGAGGGCTCTCTGTATTTGAAGAAGGGTTGATATCGAAATGTTGGGAACAAAAACAACTGCTGAGTTCACAGGGCCAGAAACCGTCTGCACCTGTTTTCCCTTGACCAAAATTCACATGATCTGTCCAAAACATGTTTGCAAGCTCAACTGGCATCAAAAGCTTCCCAGAAGCACCCGGAGAGACATACGTCCAGTCTCTGAACCAAAATGCAGGGGCAAGGATATCGAAAGCAGAGGTCCCATGTTGGAGAAAATGGGCGTCTTCTGTGAGCAGACTGGCCGCCTTTTTCAGGAAAACCCAAGAGGAACCACCCACCTTGGGGTTCACAAACTCTGAGAGCCGATTCAAAATGGTGCCATGTTGCCCTCTCGTTTACGGGAGTCCGACAAAGGGTTCATCATCTCCCCACTGCGACTTTTGGCTGACAGGCAGACACAGAACCCGGCCAAAGAAGTCGACTCACAGCTGAGCTCCATGTCGAGGACCCAGGTAGTGCTAAGAAACAACACAAGTTCATTTTGGACAAGCCAGGTGTTCTCTGCTTTCTCTCCTGGGAAACCCAAGCTCAAGTTTTGGGGGTCCCAGAGAAACAGCATTCCCAAAATGAACGGGGGAAGAGTTGTTTGTCCATGATCCACGACCGTACTATGAAAACGCTCGGCTCCATCCTTTCGAACATTTTGCCTGGCTGAAATCTAGTGAGACACCCCGTTGTCCGAAGTGGGGTGTTTTCCCCAAAAAAACCGGGGGCCCCTTGAAATGGCTGCAGCGGTACCTGTTTGGTTTCCCGCACCTCTCCAGCAAAGCCCTCTGCTTGGGACCCAAATCGGTGACAGATGGGAGAACCTCTGGATCTCTCCGCTGTAAGGTCTAAGGGGACTTGCAGCGGGGGGTTGCTGATGTGTCTATGAAAGAGCCCTGGGCTTGCTAATATGTATGTTCAGGAGTTTGCAAGACACGAACCTCAACATCCAGCCTCACATACCTGGGCCAGATTCAGCCCTCCTGCGAAAAGAAATCACTTAGTTGAAAGGACGAATGATGAAAACCAAATGGCAAAAAATAAGCCCTAAATCCTTCCACAAACTCCAAACCGACTAATCACGGGACATGTTCAGACCCAACCTCTCATGATTGTTGCTAACACCCTCCCTTTCCTCCGAACGCCGAACGCCGTGCCTTCGTTTTCTCGTGCGGTTTCTAAAACGCGCCTGTGAAAGCGCCCAAGCCCCTGAAGGGCTTGAAACCACCAATCCAAACCACCAACTAGAGGCAAACCGAACAAACATACTGTGGATGGACGAAATCCATTTCGCACCACTTTGAAACCACGAAGAACCATTGTTTGCGAGTATTTACAGGGGAATCATCATTCCAGGGTTTCTTAGGTGGTGCAGGATTTCGCCCATCCATAGTAGGTGTTGGTAAAATAATGGCTCTGGTAGATGATGAAACAACCAGGGCCATCGATTCTCTACCAAAGCCAACCAAACATGCCATGTTTAGTGGCCATGGGGAAAACAGGAATCGGCCTCCCTGTTCTTGGTTGGTTTCGCTTCCAGGAATCGGAACCCTTCCCCAAAAACAACGGAAACGATGCTTACCCCTTAAAACTCCAAAGCCCTGGGGAAGTTAATATTTTACATACATATAGCCCATGTTACCCAAAAAGTTGAAAAGTTGTGCTTGTAAGAGGTAAGGATGGTTGCACCAGCGGCGCCCCGCGCTCGTCGCTCTGCGCGCTCCGCGCCTGGCCGGGGTACTTGCCGAAGTAGAGGCGCATCTTCAGGGACCGCGCCACGCTGCTGCCAGAGATGCTGTACCTGGACTCGGTTGCTTTGTGCTCACCTGCTAGAAGCTTAACTGTTAATGGTTTAATACTGAAAAACCCAGTAGTTGGCAAAAAGTTTAAGTCCTAGCATCCAAGCAAAATGCACCAAAGTGGAGACCGGGTCTGTTGGAAAAGGGCAAGCGCCCTTGGGCAAAAAACCAACAAGCTTCTTTCAAAGGGGGGGAAGGCAGGTCTCCCATCGCGGGGTTGGGGCTTGGCTTTTTGAGGCATGGCTTTGGTTCGGATCTTGGAGAAAGCCGGCGGGTTAGGGTATTGGAGGGGGCGGTGGCTCCTACGAAAGGGAGTCCTTTTTGTTTACCTGACTCGGCCAAGCCGAGACCCAGATTGCCCCAAGGAATGGCAGCCTCGGTTGGCAAAAGGCGCTACAGAATGAACACGGGAAGCTGCTGCAAATGCATCATGGACCCTGAAGATAATGCGCAAAACGGGCAGCTGTTTTGACGCGGATGGTTGGGGCTTTGCCCAAGAAATGGATGCTGCGCCTTGCCCACGTGCTAGCTGTAGCTCGTCACGAGTGGGGGGAGTTGTAGGGGAAGAACTCGCGAAACTTCCTCTCAAGGTACGCGTGGAAGGGCCCATCTTGTGCGGTCCACTCAACCCGTGCGGTCTCTACAACAAGATGAAACAAGAGCAAATAGCTCAGATCCTCACGCTGAATAAGCCGAATCTTCTTGAAACTCTGGATATGTTCTTCCCTTTTCCGTTCTGGTAGCATGTCTAGATCCTCTGTCAAATCCCTTCCGAATGGTGACATCTCCCAATTCTTCAGAGCTGTCAACACGCGGTCGAAAAACATGAAACATTCAATCTCCAACTCGCTCGCCTCCTGGCGACTTGTAAGCTTCTGAGTCACTTTCCTCAAAGGATATAATAACTAAAGTCGCCATACAACCGCCTCGAGCAGCAATCCCTTTGGTCTCCCTTTCGAAAAGAAAGTCTTGATTCCGATAATGGCAGCTCTGGCTGCGGGCGTCTCATCCAGAAACTGATTGATGTTTGCAGAGTTTTCATAGAAGTCGTCCCCGCCACGAAGATTTGGAAACTCTTCCAACCTTGGGTTTGCAAGCACAAGGTCAACTGGAGTTGTGCATTCCATGGTGAACTTGATGGCCGGCCACATTTCCGATTGTGACAGGCCCTGTGACACAATACAGTTTCTCCAAGTTCTGGGCTACCTTGCGCTTGTCCATCTCGGTAAAGAGTTCATCCGCCCTCTCACTCCCAGGAATTCTTCTCACCTGGATGTCGAAATCGCAGTCATGTCTTGTAAGAAACCCCACCATTTCGACAAGAACATTGTCGCCAAGAGCATGTTGGCATGCTTCCACCAGTTCATCGTATGATCGTCTGGCAAAACGAAGCTTCGCTCCTTTCATGCCGACAGCTGCAACCGTGAAACCCTTGACCAAACCGTCCTGGTTTGCCATGTAAAACCGGTTTCTGACTTGAGGAGCAAGCTGATGCCACTCCGCTGAACTTCTGTAGAACCACTGAACCACCCGAGGATCCTTCCACTCCTCTGCCAATGAAAATGCCAAAACATGCTTGTCGTGTCCATATGGCCACCAGCAGGCCCAAAAAGCACAGGTAGTCGCAATGCCTGTCACTATGGCATGTAGGCTGCTTCGCCTCCCGTTGATGTACATGGCTTGGCTTGCTGGCCGCGGCTGTGCAAGGTATCTGATTCAGTCACAACCTTTATTATGCATGTCTGGAACATTTACCCATATAAAACACCAACGCCTATCTCCGTGTCCATTGTTTTAGCGGAATACTGGTTGTACCATTCATTGATGGTGTGAGTAAGCAACTTTAAGCAGAATGAGTGTTTTTTCCCGTGTTTCACAGAGCAACAAAAAACAACCACCGACGTGTTTTCAAGAAGGGTGCCCTCAAAAATGGCCACACCATGACCCAAATCTTTTTGGTGTGTCTTTGCATATCTGCTGTATGCGTTTCTAAGCTTGGAAAGAAGCCAACAAGAAACTGAACAGGGGGCAAGGTTGGACCCTTTCTCGGGGTGATTTATATTTTCACTGGCAACCCAGTGACCCACGGTGGATGCAGGGAACACCTCTAATGTACCGCCGTTTGCCCTAGTTTGGTGGTTGAGTATGGTTGGTTGACTTGCAATATTTACGGCATCCACCGTAGCAATACAAGGCGATGGATGGCCTTTGGGGTTGCCGAAGCTACAGATGGCTGCTCAAGCTGAAAATCCAAAAGTCAAAGGTCAAACGATTCGTTTTACGTGCATGAGGATGCGCATTTCATTTGAGGGCTACCAAAGCTTAAAATTGCTGTTGTGTGAGGATATGGGTTTGTCTTGAAATAGGGCACCCCCAAGAATTGCAGTCTTCCTCTCGGTTTACCTTTGAAGCAACCGCGAAAGGGTACCTTGCCTCACACAAAACACACACACACACCGCACGAATGCATAGGCAGTCTTCAGCCTCTTCATTTGACTGTTGACATGGCACCACTTCTGACCTCCCAACAGTAACAAGTCCAGGAAGGTCGAAAGATTCGAAAGACAGATCTTCCTCGGGTCCGAACAAAGTTGGGGATTCGGACTAGCAAAGCCACTCCCTGAAACATCAAAATGATTGTCCCTGCTTAGCGCCGATAGTACTACCAACCGCGTGGCCTTCTTTTCGCCGGATGCGCCGTCACTCGTCACTCGCCCCTCGCGGACCTCTCGATACACACTTTGGGCCCCGGGTGATTCTGTTTCGCTGTGTAGTGGATGGCTCAACCTCCAAAAAAGACTCACTGTTTGCTGTGGAAACTCTTGATTTCCCGAGCAGTTAGAGTCTAAAGACCCAACCAAATAGCAGCCAAGACAACGGGAACCTGGCGAAGGCTTACTTTCTCCAGTGGCAACTATAGGATCCACCAGGCGGATTCCAGGTCCAAAAGTGTCCTTTGCCAGGAGATACCATACGGGCATAAATTGGAATGGGGTTGCGGTGTGCGTGGTTCAAGCCATGTGTGAATTTTCATCGGGTGAGCTTGGCGGACATCAGAATTCGGGTAACCGCCCACTTTGGAGCTGGTTCCCAACCTCAAAACGCAGATAGATCAACCTCCCTGGAGGAAAGATCCGCATCTGCTCGCACTCAAAAACATGAAACGTTCTTTTTGTTGTAACTGTTTTTTGTTCTTGTGGTTGTGTTGCTGTTGTTGTTTGTTTGGTCTGGAATCAATGTTCCATTGAACCACAAAAAGCAACTCACAAAAAAACACACACACACACACACACACGACAAGAAAGAAGAAGACAACAAACGGACAGTGCGCACTGGATGGAGGACACCGTCTCCGCCTTGAAGCTCTGCCTGGACCTCGTCGCCTCAGAGAAAGCAGAGAACCGCGACCGGGGAAAACCACAAGACCCCGGTTTTAAGGGCTCCGAGGGGACCTGAGTCCCTGAGAGTGGAGCTCAGAAAGCGGTGCGTGCTTGTTGGTGGTCTGTTTTGAAATCTGTTGATGTGTCGTCTTTTTCAAGTACTTGGGTGTGTTTCTGATTCACAGATCGCTCATTGAGCGAAAGCCCTGGAGGTGTTAGTCCATGTTTCCATTTACCAAGGCTCCATTTTTGGTACCTGTTTTTGACCCACAGCCATATTAGAACCATTCAGCACCTGCGATAAATCAAATCCTAGCCCTAGCCTGGTTGGCTGCGCGCGGGGTGTGGCACATGTCCGAGATCCGTCACTTTGGGGGTCTCGTGTTTGATCCGTGTCAGGTCAATGTTAGTGGATTCTGTTGCGTGAACAGAACCAATCATAAGAGAAGCAAAGAACGGGATTGTTCACTCCTTAGCAGCTGCCTGGAGATCAAACGCGTCCTAAGTAGCCTACTGACTCCACAGTAAGCTATAGCTTGAACATTCGGAACCCCAAAAACCACCGTTGAAACACCCAGAAGCTCCTACCCAGAAGCAAAACCATGGTTGAAACCGCCGGAACCTCTGGAAAACCTGAGACCAGATTTCTAGCAGTGATAGCCTCCTAACGCCCACTAACGTGGAACCTAAGGATTCGGGTCCATGTGGACAGGAGGGTAGATTCCCTTTAAAACCAGAGGAAAATCACAAAACCATCCTCATTTCAGCAAATGGAAGTTGTTCGCCGTTCTGGTGGATGGGAAGCCTCCAAAGCGGTGAAAGGACAACCTCTCCCATTGGAGCTTGACTCGGACCCGGAAGGCGTTCTTCTGATAGAAACTGGGTTGTTCCTTGAGGAGGAAAGGGCTAGGAACAAATCCTTCCAACACGGACAATAGGATTGTAGAACATTTTGAACCCAAACACCAGCTGAAAAACGGCCGCGCCGTTTTCACCCAAGCGGCGAGCCAATTGGTTGTTCTTCACTCCCTGAAAAGGCTAACCCTGCCTTTTTGCCAAGAGTTGCACGCATTCTGTCGCTGGCGCCTGACACGACACAACACGACGCAGAGCTGGGAGGAGCTTGAACCTCCACCCTCCATCCAGAGCTCGCTTCTTGGATGGGCACGCTACCATTGCTCCACATGGATGTTTGGTTCTTTCTTTCTGGTTGTGTTCTCAGGGAGGTGTGTTTTGGAAGTCGGAAATGCCAATTCTTTGGAAGCATGATGGTACCCCAATCCCGTTCTGATGGGTCCCAAACCAACCCCCAACACGAGGACTCACAATCGGCTGAAATCGGCTGGGGTCCTGGCATAGTCCGCAGGCCAATTCCTGAGCTTGCGAGCGATTGAGGCCCTCCAACTTGCGGAAAAAATGGGGACTTTGGGACATCTGGGTGAGTTGATTGGCCGGAAACCCCTTGTAAATCAACCCCAGTTTACTAATGCGGGTTTAGTGAGGAATCAGACCACTTCTGATGGGGAACACCCCCTACTAACAAACTGGGGTTGATTAATATGGGGTCAACATTCAACTTATTGGGCCTTGATGAGGAAGACACCTTAAAGCCTTTAGAATTTGCTAACCATTCAGAAAAGCAAGCGACTAAAGGGATGAGGACCACTTTCAGAAAAATTGCCTCCCGCCAACCTGGGCTGGTGTCTGGGAAATCAGCTGCCCATCCCTTTGTGGCTTGGACATCAAACTGGATGTGCTTGGCACCTGGAGAAGACACCCTCACCAACAAACCCTGGTATCTCAGCTGTCCAAAGGACCTGGACATGACTTGCTCGTGGGAAAGAACCCAGGGGTCCCCTTGAAGGAAACCACAAGGGATGGGTTCTAGGGGTCATTCCCTCATTTTCCGCTGAGCACCAGCAAGATAAAAGGTGATCACCCTGTAAAACCTTGACTGAATAAGCAAAAGGTCGATTCGCATTGGGCGGAGGTAAACTATACCGGCCTCTGGTGGACGATTTCCCCCTATGCAAATCGAATCCAGCCAACTCTTCGTAGATCGATCTCACGTCTGAACTCCTTGATAACAAGAACACCTACCATCTGCTCTCCCAACAGAGCGTTTTGCACCGGCCCTTACGGAAGATAGCCGTCCTTTTCAGGGTTGCTGGAATTCCCCACGTCTGTGCCAATGGAAGGCCTTCCAAACAAAGAACTAATTCTCCAGACGGGGAGGTTTCCTGATATACAGCGTTTATTGTGTTTTTTTTGGTAGAGGTTTCCTGATATACGTCAATACAGTTTTTTTTTGTTTTTTTGTTCATCCTTTAAACTTGCATTGACGTATCAAAACCCTTCCGTGAAACCTTCCGCGAAACCTTCCGCGCTGTGAAGGGTACCTTCCGCGAGCATGTTTCTACATAAGTTTGTATAAGTGCTTCCGCGGGCCTTCCGCAGGCAAGTTGCTTCTGGAAACTGAGGAAGGTAAACTCGTGCGTGCGGCTTGCTAGTAAACGTGCTTGGCAACAACCACCCAACCGAAATCAAACTACTATGTGCAAATCAAAAGGGTCCCTTCTGCGAGCTTCCGCGCGAAAGAAACCTTCCGCGAACCTTCTGCGACTGGAGTGCTGCGCCACATTTGTTGTTGATATGTCAACATCTATACATGTTTGCTTGGGCGGAAAAATACATCGCCACTCAAGTGGGAACCAACCCCTCAATCCCGCAACCCTGGAGTCCTTTGGAGAGGTGTTCATCGGTGCCGTTGCACGCCCTGGATTTCAAAGTCGGCATTACCAGTCAGCGCCATGTCCCAACATCACACATCGCCAAACAGTGCGCGCGTGGAAGGGAGTTCACTTGGTGTAGGGCTCCACACAAACTTTGCGGACATCACCAACTTTTCCCTGGAAACAGTGCCTCTACTTGGGTGTTCAAGCTACTCATTAAACAGGTTATAACACTGTGTTTAACGGGACTGACCCCAGTTACCCCGGTCATAACCTTGATTGTAACCTGCCAATTCTGGCACATTATAACAATGCACCGAAACTAAGGTACCCCCAAGACGGGAACCTTCACTTTGGGTGAAACTCGTCTCGATCCCCCCCCCCCCTCCCCCCCGGGTTTTTCTCATGACTTTTCGAAGCACCTTCAAAACCCGAGGGTTCGTCTCTCAAGGGGCCCCTTCGCTAAGGCTATGTGATATCCACGTTTGGGCATACTCACTGATGAAAAGGGTAAATGTCGGATATGGTATGTCAAAATAAGTGACCCTTAAAAATGGTGGCATTCCTTTGGTTCTCAATACACACCACAAACAAAAAGGGCACCAAACGCAAAACAAATGCAATTCAGCTCCCCTTGTAACCTTGAAAACTGACCACAAGAAGATCAGACTCTCCAAATTCTTCCAATGCGTCCTTTCAGCTTCCCTCTTGGCGGTCTGGGTGGTTTGGTGGTGCAACGATAGGTTTCCCATTTAGCATCTCTACAAGAGAACCAGGGGTTCACATCCAAATCCAAGTCAAGGGATGACTCTTCGGGTTCTAGTTTTCTGAGGCGTTCAGGAATGAGCCAAGCTGGGCCAGGCTGATCTAACTCGCAAAAAGCGAACTTTTGAAGGTTGACAGGAAAATTAAGGAACAACCCAAAGCCAAAGGTAAGGTGCGGCAATGGAACATGTCTCAAGTTCCCTATGTAAGCTGTGAGCAAAACCTGTTGGGCTCTGCAAAGATGGCTATGAAGGTTCGCATAGCCTTTGCTATAACCCACGCTGTAAACGCCTGTTGCAAAATCACACTGGGTATTTATCCCAGTAACTACGTGATCACTTCAAACGGGGGGGTTGTTTGGTATCACAGAAATTGTCCAGACAAGTTTTCGCAAACGATGGGCTGGAAACTCAAAACTGGGCATGTCCCAACATAGGGGGACCCCCAAAAAATAAGGGCTTCCCATTGGTTTCTCTTCAAGTGTAGCCCCAAAAAATTACCCTTGGACAACAACACACCCTATCTGGGCTGTCCGATTTCAGATCCCCTACAAGTGAATAACTTGAGTGGGTGAATTTCGGAAACCCAACCACTAAAAGCCAACCACAAAGACCTAAACAGCTAAGGAACCGAACGGCTGGCAGCGACGCGACGTCCGCCTGAGCTTTTTGGGACTCCAAGGGCCCGAGCGTATAGAGCCAGCAGCCGACGATCAGCAGCAGGGTGGTCTGGAACGATCCAAAACCGTCCAAAACGTCCCAATCTGGGGGAATGATCTCATATTTCACAAACCTGAAATCAGGTGGTTGACATGAATCGATGTGAATTATCTCATAGTTCACCCACCTGAAACAATAATTTGTTGGGGGGCTATTCCCCACATAAACCACCATTTGGAGGGAGGTCCTGTGAGGTCGTTATAATTCACCCAGATGAATCGAGGGCTGTGCTCTTTCTTTCTTTTGTCGGGCTTGAAAGAGGAGATCCCAAGGCTTCATGCTTTTTGACAAAGGGACAAATACCCACGGAACCGCCAAAATCGGGGCAATCAACCACTGTTCAGATCCCCTGCTGAAAGCTTAGCTAAACCTTAAAGCCTAAAACCTAAGGGCATTTAGTTGCCTAAGTGCCCTGAGTTGTTTTTGCAGCTTTTCTCAGACAAGAACATCCTTACCAGCGCCCGGTACTATCTCAGCCAATGCCCCCAATCGATTCTGGTCCACGTTCAGGAAGTCAACATGTAACTGGGCTGTCCGTTCTCAGATCCCCTGCAAAAACTTGAAAGCTTTGAGTGGGCGAACAGTGTGAAACCCCACTAATCCTTACATCAAAACCTAAACCCCAAGGGCATGGCACTTGGAGCCAAGATACATCGATTCCTCCCTTCCGCCTCTGTGCTGACCTGGAACCCTCCCAGAAGGCTGCCCCAAACCACCCGAACGAGCCTATCTGAGCAGAGACCAAATCCATAGCTTTCAGCTGTTGGGGAATTAAACATGCTTCCAGTGGTGTTAGTTTCCCTGTAGAACCAACAACAGAGCCTGAAACATGGCTCTTAAGCAAATGCAAGTAATCCATCCGGCATAAGGATTACAAATCCGGCAGATTGACACGGGGAAAAAAAAACACATTCTATCAAGACACATCCTCTTGGGGGACCCCTTTGTTGGGTTCCATGATAATGTGCAGGGGAGTAATCTGAAATGCTTCACAACAGGAATCCCCTAAAATGGTCGGCGTCCTGATGGTTTTCCAGTAAATTTCAGCCACACCCCAAGGTTTATTTTGAACAAACCAGATTGATTGCTGGTGTCTACATATATAAAGGGACCGCCCCAAAAAAGGTCCTGAAGTGTTCTCTTAAAGCAATTCCAAATGTGGTAGTGCAAGCAAGGCACTTGCAACCCAAACAAAAGGTGTACGGGTAGTTTGAGGGTCCAGGTTGTTTCTTTTAAACGCAAACTGATTCGATTGGTGTCGCTTTTGGACACCAGAAAAACAACACAGATGCTATTATTCGGCGCAATGGCAGGAACATCTGAAAGTGAGCCTAGGAGAAGACCTCCGGAGTTTCCGCGTGTTGAGGGTACCGTGTTGACCTTCGCTTCACAACTTGGCCCCAAACAAAAATGGCTACGCAGCAAACAGCATGATTCCTTTACCCTAAAAGAAACAATGGTGTTGGGATCGGCCCCCGAAAAGGAGAACCCGGCTGATACCGTGATACCCAAATATTTAGAGCCGACACGCCCTGCATCCTCAGGCCACCTAAAAGGACCGGGTCCCCAAACTCCCAAGTAGATCCAAATCGGAGGTGTGACTGGGGAGAATCTACAGAAATCCCCGAGCCATGAAACCTTGGCATGTCGCTTTTGCTGCATAACTGAGCGGCCAGTGAATATTATTGAAGCCAACTCGGAGAAAAAAAACAAAAAACTTCGGAATCCTGTAGTACCAACTGCCACCCCCGGGTACCATCCCTGTCCGCTCGCAGCCGGAGCGAAAGCGAAAGAATCGAGTCCGCGCGCCGCCACGGTGACCAGCAGGACGGTGCTGTGCAGAGCCTTCCTGTAGACCTTCACATCCAAGTCCAGCTCCTGGCAAGGAGCGGAACCGACGACATTCCATGGAGACCCGGGACCCCAAACGTATGAACCCCCAGCCTTCTTGGGGTAAAGCCAAAACCGCTAACCTGAGGGAATCGACGATCCCTAGAGACCCCGAACGTCTATGAACCCCGAGCCTTTTTGGGGTTTAGCCAAAACAGCAACCATGACCAGCTTCCTGGGTGCCTTTCAACAATGCTGGTTCATCTTTTTTGAGTAAAGGGAAATGAAAAGGGAAACCGATGCTTGGGGGGCGCCCCAAAAAAGCAATTCGGACCCTGCATTTGGTTTTGTTTTCGCTTACCGACCAAAGATAAAGGGAGCATTTCTGTGCTGCCCAACCGGTTTGACCAAAGTGTTACTTCCCTCTTGATTCAGCTTTCCTCTGATTGGTGTTTTGGAGCACAGGGGTTTGGAGTGAAACGGGGAGGTTTCCCATCTACCCTCTGCAAGGTAAGCTGAACAACCAGTATTTCGACCAAAGTTCTGCCTCTTGAATTGTGGGCCCAAACACCAGTTGGGAATTTTTCAATAGAAGGGTGCCCCAACAAAATGCGCTTCTTCCGTTGGTTTTCTCTTGGGCTTCACAGGACGCCACTTTAGCAGCCCTCGTTTGACCCATTGATTTTCTGTCCGGAAAATGGAATGCCACGTGGGTGGTGTTTTTTTTTGTTTTTAGGTACAACCGTTAGAAAGGGGACTCACCCCAGTTCTTTGCCTTTGTTACATCCTCTTGGGTTGAAGACCCCACGCAAAGGCTCCTTCTGCCTTTGTTGGGTGTATGTGTTCGTTGTTGTCCTCTTGGGGTTGGTTCAAAGGGAAACCCAAAATAGACACCGCCATGTTGGAGCAGCCGAAGCAAAGGGCACAAACCTTGCAGCGAGCCTCAGGGAATAGCCGGACCCGAGGCTTTATATTTGACAATCCCAACGCAGAAACTTCGGGGTCCAACATCGGGGAAATCAACCACTGGGCGTGTCTAGCGGATAGTCACAACATTTGGCTACTGGTGAAAATACTCAGCTCTCTAGGCTCCTAAAGCAGAATTATGCTAGCACCGGAAACGAAAAGCACCCCAATGAATGCGCTGTCTGTCTCTGTTCCTTCTCTTATGTCTTAATCAATTGTTTTATGGCTCCATCAACAAACGAATGGGGGGAGAAGGTGAGAGATGCACAGGGTTGACGAGAGAAGCGAATGGTGACTTTGGAATCCATCCCTTCCTTCTCTGACTCTAGCAGTTATTTCTAGATCCCAAGCCAGGCAAGAGATGGATGAGAGGGTGACCAAGAATTCTGAGATATGTGGCTGTGGGTCCAAATTAGACTACCAGGGGACCGCTGGTGTCAGTCCATGTTTCTGTTTACCAGGGTTCCATGTTGGGTACCCATGTTTGACCCACAGCCATGTATTGATGGCCTTCCCTCGCTCACTTGCTGGCTCTTTCTGTGGTTGATAGAGAAAGAACGGAGATACACATCCCTTCACTCACTAAATACCCTCAAACAAATACCCTTCCACCAGCATGCAACCTGCCAGGAAACTATCTTCCAGGACCACTCTGTCAGGCTTCATGTTAATTGGTGGGAGGTTCCGAAGGCTTGCGTAGGCCTTGCTATCGTACTACAAGGTTGAAACTACAGCAACCGAACCACCTCAATGGCAACCATCGATAGCCCGCATGGCAACCATTCCTTTCACCTCTTCTCTTGTACATCCCAAGGACTGAAATGGGCGTGTCTTTTTCTAGGGGACAGCAAAAATGGGTCCTTTTGGCTCCCCAAAACAGACACCCATCAAATGGCCAGCATCGATCACCATAGCAACCAACCGCGCCGAACCTGCTGAACGATGTTGCCGTTGTTCAGCTGGAAGTCGTCTCCATCGCCCACCTCAGTGAGCCACGCCCGAAGGGATGTTCCCAAGTGGGGTTGTTATATCCCGCCGAACGGGGGGGCTGAATTTCTGACTGGTTGGTAGCTGGGGTCAGTCCCCTTATCACCATCATTATAACCTATTTTCTAAGTAGCTTGAACACCAAAATAGGATTCCGTGTTTCTTCAGCTGATCCCTTTAGAGGGTTCTTGCTTGGGTATTCCGCCAAGTTAGTGTCTGTGGTTGGCCAATTCGGGTACAACCCCATAATAACAACGTTAAGTCTTACAAGTCGGTTGTAACCGGAATCCGGAATCCAACTGAACAGGGACTGGATTTGTGGGTTGTAACCTAGGTACCCAACAGCTGACCAACTTGGCCAATCGAACGCGCATGTGTCCCCTCAGAATATCACCAAGGCAAGCTCACATGTTCAAACCCAACTAGGTCCTCCAGATTCGAGAGGTTAGAATAAGGAATAAGGATACCCGTTTCTTTCTTTTTTTCTGTAGTCTATTATTGGTAGGGTTTTACCCCCCGAACCAAAGAAGAAACGGCTAAACAGGCGGCATTAGGCTGGGGGACCTAGCCGGGCACGAAGCCTCTTCGGAGCCGTGACATTGGAGGCCCAAAAGGTATGGTAGCTGGACCAAATTTGGAGTCACACTCCAAATTGGGCAACCCCCCAATTCCCTAATTCAGTTATCCCTAATTCAGTTATCCCCCACTCGAAAAAGGCAATTTCCCCAATTCAGTTTTCGTTGGCAATCGCCATCAATCACCCATGTTCACGGGTTGTCGGGCAACCCTCGAAAACGGCAACCTCGAAAGAAGGCACCCCCACAAGTCAGTGTTCGGGCAATCGCCGATGTGTTTTTTTGTTTTTTCCCCCGGGTCCACGCATTCATTGGAAGTTACGTCCTGCTGATGCAGGAGAGGCTGAAGATGGAGCAGGAGTAGTAGGAGAGGCACATGATGCAAAAGAAAAGGGGCTTCTTGCGCCGTCTGACAAAGGAGAGCTTGACTTGTGCCCATGCTTGAAGAGCTGTTTTTCAAAAAGAAGTGGATGACACACTCCTATCTATAGTCTTCGGATATTCGTTAAGCCGGCTTAATGTTGATTTGCTAGGGGAGTAACATCCCAAAAGATGATGGGAAAATTGGTCTAAGCACTTCAATCGCGCGCGGTGGGCCAGCCGGATGATGCCCGAACAAAAAGAAAACGAGAAAACGGGAAAACGGGCAAACCGCCGGTTCTTGTTTTCGCCGTTTTCGCCGTTTTCGCCTTTTTCGCCGTTTTCGCCGTTTTCGCCGTTTTCTCGCTTTCCTGTTTTTCCCGTTTTCCTGTTTTTGCCGCTTTCACCGCTCTGCCTTTGTAGCTGGCTTGCCGCAGTTTAGTTTCGATGCTTTCGCCGTTTTCCCGTTTTCGCGGCGTTCACCGATTCAGAATGAATGAATGAATGAGTTCATCCAATGCATTAACTTTCCCCGTTTTCGCCGTTTTCCTGTTTTCGCCGTTTTCGTCGTTTTCTCGTTTTCTCGGCGTTCGCCGTTTGAATGAGTAGAATAAATGAATGAATGAATGAATGAATGAATGAATGAATGAATGAATGAATGGATGGATGGATGGATGGAGGAAGGAAGGAAGGAAGGAAGGAATGAACGAAAGAAAGAACGAAAGAAAGAAGTGAAATGAATGCATGGACGCATGAATGCATGAATGAGTGAATGAGTGAATGAACTAATGAACTAATGAATGAACTAATGCATGAACGCATGAATGCATGAATTAATGAATGACACAAAAATGAATGAGTGAATGAACTAATGAACTAATAAATGAACAAATGAATAAATGAACAAATCAATGAATGAATGAATGAATGAATGAATGAATGAATGAATGAATGAATGAATGAATGAATGAATGAATGAATGAATGAATGAATGAGTGAATGAGTGAATGAGTGAATGAGTGAAATGAGTGAATGAGTGAACGTATGAGTGAAAGAACTAATGAATGAAGCATTGAATGAATGCATGCACGAATGAATGTGAGAGTGAATGAAAATGAAATGAAATGACATGAAATGACATGAAATGACATAAAATGAAAGCAAAGGAAATAACATGAAAATGAAAATGAACATGGATGAATGAATGAAGGAATGACTGCATGAAGGAATGAAGGTATGAATGAAAGAAAGAATGAACGGAAGAAATAAATGAAATGAATGCATGAACTTATAAATGCATGAATGAATAAATGAAAGATAAATGAATGAGTGAATGAACTAAAGAACTAATGCATGAACAACTGAATGAATAAATAGATGACTGAATGAATGAAGGAATGAATGAGTGAAATGAGTGAAAGAACTAATGAATGAATGAATGAATGAATGAATGAATGAATGAATGCATGAATGAATGAATGAATGAATGAATGAATGAATGAATGAATGAATGAATGAATGAATGAAGCAATGAAAAAATGAAGAATGAGTGAATTGAATTGATTGATTGATTGATTGATTGAATGATTGAATGAATGAATGAATGAATGAATGAATGAATGAATGAATGAATGAATGAATGAATGAATGAATGGATGAATGAACGAATGAATGAATGAATGAATGAATGAAATTGAATGAAAATGAATGAATGAATGAATGAATGAATGAATGAATGAATGAATGAATGAATGAATGAATGAATGAATGAATGAATGAATGAATGAATGAATGAATGAATGAATGAATGAATGAATGAATGAATGAATGAATGAATGAATGAATGAATGAATGAATGAATGAATGAATGAATGAATGAATGAATGAATGAATGAATGAATGAATGAATGAATGAATGAATGAATGAATGAATGAATGAATGAATGAATGAATGAATGAATGAATGAATGAATGAATGAATGAATGAATGAATGAATGAATGAATGAATGAATGAATGAATGAATGAATGAATGAATGAATGAATGAATGAATGAATGAATGAATGAATGAATGTGAATGTATGAGTGAAAGAACTAATGAATGAATGAAGCAATGAATGAATGCATGGACGAATGAATGTGTGAGTGAATGAAAATGAATGAATTAATGTTTCAATGAATGAAATTAATGAAATGAAGGAATGAATGAACGAAATTACATGAATGCATGAACACGTGAATGCATGAGTGCATGAATGAGTTAATGAACTAATGAACTAATGAATGAATTAACGAAAGAAATGAATGAACGAAGGAAATAATGAATGAATGAATGAATGAGTGAATGAATAAATGAATGAATGAATGAATGAATGAATGAATCAATGAATGAATGAATGACTGAATGAATGACTGAAATAAATAGCGAAAGAACGAAATACATGAATGAAATGAATGCATAAACGGATGAATGCATGAATGCATGAATGAATGAAAAATGAATGAATGAGTGAATGAACTAATGAGTGAATTAATGAATGAATTAATGCATGATTGAATGAGTGAATGAATGAATGAATGAATGAATGAATGAAGGAATGAATGAGTGAATGTATGAGTGAAAGAACTAATGAATGAATGAAGCAATGAATAAATGAGTGGACGAATGAATGAGTGAGTGAATGAAAATGAAATGACATGACATGAAATGAAAGAATCGGAAATATAATAAACATGAAAATGAAAATGAGCATGAAACAAAGGAATGAACTAAAATGAAATGAAATGAAATGAAATGAAGTGAAATGAATGCATGAGCACATGAATGCATGAATGAATGAATAAAAATTAAATGAATGTGTGAATGAACTAATGAACTAATGAATGAACTAATGAATGAACAAATGAATGAATGAATGAATGAATGAATGAATGAATGAATGAATGAATGAATGAATGAATGAATGAATGAATGAATGAATGAACTAATGAGTGAATTAATGAATGAATGAATGAATGAATGAATGAATGAATGAATGAATGAATGAATGAATGAATGAATGAATGAATGAATGAATGAATGAATGAATGAATGAATGAATGAATGAATGAATGAATGAATGAATGAATGAATGAATGAATGAATGAATGAATGAATGAATGAATGAATGAAGGAATGAATGAATGAATGGAAGGAATGGGATGGAATTGAAATGAACGGAACAATCAATGAATGAATGACATGAAATGAATGAACGAAGAATGAATCAATGAATGAATTCTCTTTACATCTTATGTGGAATTCAGCGTCGCGCTGCTGCGGCGGCCGGTTGTGCGCAAGCAACGTAAATCCGGCTACGCCTCCTGGGGTAGCATGTCGCGGCCAGGCAATTAGCCTGCTAGCTTTGGCTATAGTAGGGTGCACCCTGGTGGCCCTCGCCACTTGGTCGTGATGCGCTGCCTAAATCCGGCACCTCTGCATCACCAGCTCGGGCTTGCGGTTTTGCTTGCCTGTGGGAAACCCTCGAAAAAGATTGCGTATATGCAGGGTTTAGGCCATGTGGCCGTCAGGGTCTGGGGTTGGGCCTGTGTGATGCTTCAGCGGGGCTTGGTCTGCATCATCAAGACTTCCTTCCAAAAAGCCTCTCAACCCATGAAGCACTGTTTTTTAGAAGGTATTGGAGGGACATAAGCGAGGATCATTTTTGCGCATTTTGGCGCCCAAGCGCTGCCGGGCATGCCGGCGATGCTGGGTCCGCTCTACAAAAACCCGTAAATACCGCCAAAAACTGCTGTGCTGAGCGTTGGGCTGTTGTTCTGTCGGTTTTGCTTTTGCTGTGGCTGGCTCGCGTGCTGCGCGGTCACTTGCTTTTTTCCCGTTGGCTTTCGGGCCGCGACCCCAGCCACAAAACGCTGCTATTTGCGGTGTTTTGTTGCGTTTGCGTTTCCGGGCTGGCTTGCGGGCTGCTCTGTTTGGGCTGCTTTTTGTGGGTCCTCTGGCGCGCGCGCGCGCGACCCCATGTCAGCCTTCTGGGTTGGGGCCCGGATGGGGCCCAGAAAGC